TATATATTTTGGGGTTAGGCTGTCCAAATTGCACTGTATAATATGTTCTGAATTAATATGTTCTTTGGTTTTTTTGAAATACATGTATTAATTCAACCTTATTATGAGTTTTTGGACAAAAAAGAGGGTAAACAGTTGAAATTTCATTCTAAAACCCATCTTTTTTGGTCTTTTCATGACTTATGATATGTCAAATTTGTAGTTTTCTTTATTGGTTTTGAGTGTTTATCTTAAAACTCAAGTTTCTTGGTTCTTTGCTCTTGGTGTAAATCGAACACATTTGTGGAGTCGTTTAAATATGTTGGATTTTAAACTGTTATACAATTTTTTTCATCGATAATCTGTAATTGGAATCATAACTCTTATTTATTCAAATTGTATTAATATGTAAAGACCAAGTGTAACCTATATCATCGTTAAATCTTATCTTATAAAACCAGTGGAACTTCAAAATCGTTAAAATTCATGGCTCCTGCTGCATTGCGCGAGTACACAACTAGTATATATAAGATAAAGAAACCATACGGTGTGTGATTATTTTAGCAATTAATATGATTCCAGTCTCCACCCTTTGTAATATGTTTCCAAATAATTGGTCTTGAGTAATTTATGTTTTTTTGTTGTCAATTATGCCTCACCTTAACTCTATTGTTAATATTTCATTAAACACCCTATTTTTACAAAACAATGGTATTCACCCATAAATTAAATATAAATAAATTAAGTGAATTACTTATCATATTGTATATTTTATATCAAAATAATAAGGTAAAAGCCCAAAAAAAAATTGATCAACCTGGATATCCAACCCATTATACGAGCCGACTAATCCCAGAGCGACCACCTGTTTTACAGATAGTCCGGAGTCACCACATTTAAACCTCCGTAGCCACAAAGAGATTTTTATTCTTTTTTAGATTTAAACCTAAAATCTGCAAGTACTTTTGGTAAGTATAAAAAAAAATGAAATATAACCGTTTTGATTATGCAATAAATTTGGGACCAAAAGAAGATATTGTTAACTCCCCTCTTAAAAGATTCCAATTATTGTTGTGGTCCACAATAATTCCAACCTTTTTCTCCTTTATTATTATTATTATTATTATTATTATTATTATTATTATTATTATTATTATTATTATTATATATCTACCAAAGATTTGTCTTCAAGTAGTGTGAAAATTACCAAGATTTTCTCTCTAATCAGTTCTTGTTCATGCTGCTTTTAATACAATAATCTCAACTTCTCAAGAGAAAGGGAAAAAAAACAGGAGTTATCGGTTTACATTTCACTGTCTTGTGTTTTGTTATCAGGTGTGTGATCGCAACTCTTCGATTAGGTGTTTCTTTCTTCTTCATCTACTTCTCAATTTTACTTTTTGCATATACCGAACTTTAATTCAGTTTTATTTGATATGGCTTTTATTAAGATTTTGCTTTTCATGCAGATCTTTGATTATAATGAAATCGCACTGTATCTTTTTAGATTCTTCTTTTTCTCTCAAATTGAAATGTTTTAATCCCCATTTCTTTTTGTTTCTATGTCAAATCTTTCGGGATTTTTTGTTAGCGCCGTTTCCAAGAAATTATAGTCTACCCATAGATTTTTCATTGCTCAAGAATAAAAAGCTGCTTTTTTCTTTTTTGTAAATGGAAAATGGTTTTAGTTTTCATCAATTCTTTCTTTTTATCAATCCTTCTTTCTTGTTTCAGTCTGGGGTTTTTTCTTTTTTGCAGAATGGGCTCAAATTTGTGATATCTGAGTTGCATTATTCCCATCTTTTTTTCCAAGATTGTCGTATAATTGAAAATTTTGATCATAAATTGAACAACTTTAATTATGTTTCAGTTGAAGGAGGTTTGATGGATGGATTTGATGAGCATACTGAGATAAATGGAGATTGGATACCTCCTAGCCCTAGCCCTAGATCTAGATCTTTTTTCTCTGCTATTTTGGGTTATGATACTGGCTCAAGGGAGTCACCTAAGGATGATGATAACAATACCACTGGTTTCACCTTTCCTGGACCAGATAAACAATTTGGATATGAAAATGGACAACCAACAAAAGCAAGTTCAAGGTCAGGTCTTGTTGAAAGGATGACAACTAGAGCCGGTTATAATGCTCCAAGCCTGAATACGGACATTATCAGACCTTCCGCCGTTGAATCTCCTTACTTGACAATTCCTCCTGGTCTCAGTCCAACATCTCTTTTGGATTCTCCAGTTTTCTTGTCAAATTCACCAGTAACCCTCTGCTTGTTTTTCTTAAGTCAAATTCATATATATAATTCATTGTTTTAGCAGCTCATTTACCACTATGATTTAATACTCTTACAACTGCGGAATGAACTGTGCAGGTTCAGCCATCTCCAACAACTGGGAAATTCCCATTTGCTCCAAATGATAATGGTAACAGTAGAAGATCCATGATGTTCTCAGATTTCCCTAAAGATAATTTATTTGAGGACTTGAACACTTCATCTTTTGCATTTAAACCTGTTCCTGCTTCCGGTGCTCCTATAAAGGTAACTAAGTAAATACTATTAGACATAATATGTTTGACTGCTGATGCTTGTACTGTTCTCTACATTTAGGTCAATCCACCCTTTATGTCTTGGCAATCTTTGCAAAGTATAGAAGCATCAGGTCAATATGAGAATCGTTTCCCAATTCAAAGTATCGAAACCGATAAGGTTCACTCCCAAAATGGAAACTCAAACTTGTCTGATGTGAAGAAGGCAGAAGTTAACAACTTCACATATCAAAGCAGGCCATTTGGAGTTAATAATGATAAGGTCGAAGAACATTATGATGAGGATACAAATCAATTAATCAACGGGGACAATGCCAATGCTAATGTCACATCTGAGGACGGATATAATTGGAGAAAATATGGACAAAAACAAGTGAAGGGAAACGAGTATCCTAGAAGCTATTACAAGTGCACTCAGCCAAATTGTCCTGTCAAGAAGAAGGTGGAGCGATCTCAGGATGGTCACATCACCGAGATTATCTACAAGGGAGCCCATAATCATCCAAAACCTCCCTTCAATCGTAGGTCGGAGATTGGATCATCAAGTTGTGTTGAGGGAGATCCTGTTTGGAGAAATGGTGATTGGGGGCATGATGGTAATCTTGAAGTGACATCATCAACTATGAGTCACCATGGTCCAAGTGGAAGTCGGTTTGAATCTAGTGATGTTATGGATATCTCCTTGACATTTTCTAGCGAAGAAGAAGAAGAAGAAGAAGATGAACGTGCAACACATGGCGCTGTATCATTAGGCAATGATGGTGAAGGAGATGAATATGAGTCTAAACGAAGGTTAAAAAATCTTTTTCGTGACTCTGCTCTTATGTATTGTTAATAGCTTTGTTGTAAGTGTGGATGTTGCTTTCATACTTACAGAAAGATTGAAGGTTGTGTAGTGGATATAAGTGTGGGCAACATTGCCATGAGGGAGCCAAGAGTGGTTGTTCAAACAATGAGCGAGGTGGATATTCTTGATGACGGATACCGCTGGCGCAAGTATGGGCAGAAAGTTGTAAAAGGAAATCCTAATCCAAGGTGTAATTGGTCATTAATTATTATTGTTGTTGTTATTATTATTATTATGCACTTGGGAATGGAGATTGAAATGGTAGGATATAATTTTTGCAGGAGTTACTACAAGTGCACAAGCACAGGATGCACAGTAAGGAAACATGTGGAGAGAGCTTCGCACGACTTGAAATCAGTAATCACAACATATGAAGGAAAACACAACCATGATGTTCCAGCAGCTCGTAACAACAATAATCACCAGTCTCAAATTCAAATTCAAAGCATGATCGAAAAAAGACATGATGTGTGTGGTTATGGTTATCGTTATGGAATGGAAGGGAAAATGCCCATTCATCATCATCAATATATGTTGCCAAAAGGAGAACTTGTCTCTGATCCTCCATCTCCTTATCATCATCAAATCATGAATAGCTTGGCATATATTTAATGTTTATTCTTATTTATTCCTATCAAAACTTTATGATATTGTTATTATTTAAAATGAATTTATTAAATTGTATAAATAAAACTGATAAATGAACTAGGCTTTATTCTCCATAATAACCCCTATGACTACAATTTAAAAAAAAATCTTTTGTATTGCTTGTCGGTTTATTCAACCTTAGATTTCAACACAAAAATAGAACTCGGCTCAAGTATACACCTTGTACTACTGTCATCTCGTAACAAGTAATAATGGTAAAATACCAGATATCGTTCCCACAGAGATAGCTTGTAAAGTTATTTCAAAAGTCCAGTTTATCAAAACTAGTTTCAGATGGCGAAACGAGAGATTTGATTTATCTAAAATTGGGAGGTTTGATTAACAACTAAGAAAATATCAATCTTAAAAAAGAAGCACATGGTGCAACAGTTGATTAAAACTAATGATTCAGCAAAAAGGTGACATAGCATTCCTGTCACAATTATCTAAAATCAATAAATGGTTTTATATAACTGTCACAATATCAACTATTGGGTCAGACGGCCTCCCAAGAGCACACACCGGTCAACGTGCTATCAATACGATATCATTTATGTTAGACGTCGCGAATCCTAGCACAACACAGTGTTACCATCCTACACCGTAGGAGTATAGCGTTTGTCAGACACTARADYTATTTATAGCCTTCTCCTATTACCTCAGGTTTTGAAAGTCAATACATTTTTATACACAAAATTAGTTGTYAATTAATTTTAATGTAATCATCAAATGAAATATTAAGCACCTGAAACAAATAGTAGACTAYAAWGCTAATAAGACACCTTTGTACTTTCACATCGGCTTTGGTCTTAATTTCTCGTTACACCCCAAGCTAAGACGTTAGCCCATCATTGCTCGGTTTCTTCTCTCGAAAGATGTAAAGACTGAAAGATAAATAACTGATACGGAAAAGTAAATTGCAGAAATTAAATTACAAGAAATGGAAATACTGGAATTTAAGGAAATTAAATGACAGAAATTAAATGACTGAAATATAAAGAACTGAAATATAAATTATTAATAACTAAATATTATTAGTTAATATTAATCTAAGTAATGATGTAAGACTTATAATTGATAAGATGAAGAAGTGACTAATGAAAGCATGGAAATAAGAGTTTGACTTTGAGAAAACTTGCAAAACAAGTTTCGTTACTAAGATCGAAAAGGTTACTTGCAAACTCTTAAAAACAGATTATTTAGTCTACGTAAATTAGTCGTGAGCCACAAATGATGAAATTCAATGTAAAGCAACAACGATCGACTAATTCGTAACTTGCAACGAAAGTCAAAAAACGTAACGTAACTTGGAAATAAAAACAGAAACGAGATGAAGATTAAATACGAGCACTTGAATTAAACTTGAGAACGAAATCACACTTCACAAAAATCGGTTCTTGGTTGGAAGCAAGAAAACCGAAAGTTTGGAACCGAAAATAATAATCTAGAGAGCAAATGTTTATAACTCAAATATTTGAGAATAAACAAATAAGAAAGTTAAGTAAAAGTGTGTTTAAAACAAGCCTTAAGCCTTCTATTTATAGGCTAAGGGAGCTTGCTAAGTGGGAGCCACCTAATAAGACAAAAGGCTCTTCAAAAATGGGCTTTGACCAGGCCCCAAGGTCGCTAACCCAACAATCACTAGAGATGGCCAAAATCGGGTCCCGGGCCGGTCCTTAACCGGTCCCTACCGGTCCTAATCAAGAAAAAAACCGGTAACCGGTCCTGCCATAACCGGTCCCGGTTCCGGTGAAATACCTTGTAACCGGTCAAGCTTACCGGTAACCGGTTAAGGAATCCGGTCCCATAACCGGTCCCATCCGGTCCCGGCCAAAAAAAATATTTTTTTTTTCAAATTTTTGTTTATTAATAAATTTTTAATATGTTATTAATATGTTTGTAATATGTTATTTTTAATATGTTTTATATAAATACGTTTAAAAATATGTTTTGTTATATATATACGTTTAATTTTATAAATACGTTTAAAAATATGTT